AGGGAAAGAAATGAGGAGAGACTCTGCTGCAAGACCCCAGGCCAAGCATAGAGACTGCAAGTTTGCAGCAGGGACTCAAAGCTGCATCTCAGACATGAGAGTGGTGTCCTCAGGGTGTCAACTTGGCTGGGGCTTTTGGGATTTACTACCTCGAAGGATACAACAGAAAGTAGACTTGTTTTATTTCTAATCTGTCTTTCCTAGTCCTTTTGCGTTCTCCATTCAAGAAGATTATCTACCCAGCTCACACACCGATCAAGAAAGAGATCGAGTCTTGATCGTCAAAGTCTGTGAGGGGTGTAGGCTCCTCCTGTTATCTAGTGATATCAATGCTTTCAAAAATGAGACCTTAATCCACAGAAAGACTGAGATGAGGAACTTCTACTGTGGTCTTATATAACTCTGCCCAAGAAGCAGCTATGTTTTAGAGCAAAAATTCTCCATTTGCATGTGAAAGTTTCCCTAATCCATGGGAAAGATATTCAAAAAGAACACAGAGCCAAAAAAAACCACCAACAAAACACAACAAGACGAACTTTTTTGCGGACTTTTTTGAAGCCTCACTGAGTCTCTGAAAATTTGCTGAAGACAAACATTTGGATCAGGATTTGAGCAATTCACGAGGCATTACTCGTCAATTCTGCGTAAGATCATATGTCCCTTTGCAAAGATGGCTCTGTGAGCTGATTTTAGAATAGTCCAGAAATTCTGACAAATTCAATTTGACAATCTTTGGTTCCCACAACCATAGAGGATAGAGATGGATGTTTCAATCCTTGTGCTGAAGAGGCATCGGCTACACACAGGATGAGATTATTGGCTGGAGAGGCACCTGGGCTTAAGAAAATTAAATATAGGAATTGTATCTGATTACGTACAGTGTTCTGGTCAATAACTTTATTTACATGTTGCACTCCTTTAGCAGCATTTCTCTGAGGACCTTAAAACCTATGTAAGCCATACAATGCCTCTGTCACATGGGAAGTGTCATCTCCTTTTAATAAATGGAATAAGGAATCAGGGAGAGGCTAAGAGCATAGTGCTATAAGAAAAAGCCTCCAACATGCTTCATGTAGCACCTGTTCACAGAAATCTCAACTAAAGACTAAGGGGAAGTGCAGCATAACCACAAAAAAAATGCTCCCAAGATTTTACATGTCCTTTCTCTCAGCTGCCACTGTAACTTAAAACAGGCTCAACCCACAGAATCCCAGCATGGTGGGGTTGGAAGGGACCTCTGGAGATCATCTCGTCCATCCCCCTGCTCCAGCAGGTCACCCACAGCAGGGTGCCCAGGATCATATCCAGGTGGGTTTGGGATCTCTCCAGAGAAGGAGACTCCACAACCTCTCTGGGAAGCCTGCTCCAGGCTCTGCCACCCTAACACCAAAGTTTCTCTTCCTGGTCAGCTGGAACATGATGGGTCCCAGTTGTGCTTGTTGCCCCGTGTCCTGTCGCTGGGCACCACTGACAAGAGTCTGGTCCCAGCTTCTTGCCCCCCAGAGGCCCTTTAGTTCTTGATCAGCATTGAAAAGGTCTTCTCAAAAATCTCCACTGCAGGGAGATGCTCAGTAGGGTCACTGTGAGCAGACTCATGGAAAAAAAGAGATATATGGGTTTAGTCTTAAGAGTTTGATACCGATTCCTTTGAGCATCACCTACCTTGATACTGGAAAGCATGACTTCTGTGAACAAGGACAAATTTACATATTTTATAAACTGCTGTTCCTTTTTCTAGGTGCAAGGAGCTGGGACTGTCCAAGATAAGACCAGGACCACATCTAACGCAGTGACTTATGTTTAACAACAGATGGTACAGGCACTGTCTTGTCTCTTGTCTGTTTGATAGGGTTTTTTTTTTTGGTTTTGTTTTTATGTTTTGCAGCTTGATGCAAAATAACTGGACTAAGCAAGTGAGGCCACAGGAAATACAGAGCAGAAGATAACTGCCCAGCAATCTTTTATGAGTGTGCACAGGTCTCACAGGATGAAATCATGCAGTCAGGAAAAAGAAAAACTTACCTGTTTTAAGGAGCCTTTCAGGGTTAGAAACATATATGCCATATAGCCTGGTATCAGCACCATAGAAGACAAAGCCATGAACCAGCCAACCCCTTGGCCCCATTTTGGGAAAACATAACTTCCCATTGTGAGCGGAGTCATCTGGACAGCACTGAAGAGAAATACTCCCTGCAAAATACAGCAGAAAAGAAGATTTGGGTGAGATTTCCAGAGTGTTCTGTACTCAAGAGTTTTTCTGGATTGACTTGGACCTCAAGCTGCCATCACACCAGGCAAGGAGAAAAGGGTTTCTTTGATCCCTGGTGACAGCCACTGGGCACTGGTGTGTAGACGGGACCTGCAGGTCAGTCTTCCAGTGGGAGGTTGCAGAAAACAGGCCAATGTCAGCACACTGCACCCACTGACTCCCTGCTACCTTAACCTTGAGCGTGGGGATGTTCTTCATAACAGAACTGTAATTCTGAAACTGTGACGTTGGTTTTTGTTTCCACTGATGTTCTTATTGGAATAAAAGCATCAGTACAGCACTACTGTCACCAACAGACTCCTAGAGGCTCTGAATAAGAGAAGTTCTTTAAAGCCTGGCTCTGCATTGGCCTCTCTGATATCACCACCTAAGAGTGCTCGGCCCAGAGGCTTTGAAAAGATAGTGTTACCTTCAAATATTAAGATTAAGTTTGGTAAGAAGATTCTTGGGAAACTATCTGCTTATCTCTTGTTATTGAAAAATTCCAAGTGGGTTTTGAATTTCCTAGGGTAAGATCTATTATACAGGCAATTCTGCAGCCATTTACTGAGCCACAGGTTCCATTCTGACCACCCTCATTTTATGAGTTTGTTCAGAGGACCTCAACAGTATCAAATACATAACCTTTATCTCAGATTATCCAGCTACAGGGAATCCATGGGTACTCTTAGAGTCCTCAGATAACCTGCACAAAATCAGAGGGAATGTGCTGTTGGAAAGGATGGGGTCCTGGGAATAACACCTGCACGCACATGGATACTGTACCACTGATCTGGGTTATTTTTGTGATGTTTTCAGATGAGTAGCAAACATGGCATTGTTTCTTTTAAGTTTCCAAGGATGACTCCTGGCCTGGGCTGTTTCACATGTCTAAACCAGCCTGCACTAGGGAAACCTGCTAAACTGCATCAGCAAAGAAGGAAGCTCGTTCTGATCCCAGATTTGGGCCTTGGGCAGAACATATTCCCAGATTTTATTAGTACATCATCACCACCTCTGAACTTGCACTGGACAACAAATTCTGTTGAAGACTTTGCAAGACAGGAGAAATCTTCTAAGTTTTACATACAATGTTGGTCATCTTCCTACTATAGCACTAAAATAAATCAAATGCATTTTGAATGAACACTTGTTTTCAGAAAAATGAAAGCTGGCTTTATCTGGGTAGAGATGAGTCAAGGAACTCTCAATATGCCCACACTTCCTTGCATCTCTTTGGTGCTCTTTGCTCTTCTATGGGCTACCTATCTGGGAATGTCAGAGAAGTATCAGTGAGTGAGCAGCAATGTGTCATATGTAATAGTGTCTACTTCATTACAGTTTTTTATATTGCATCTGGGTTGACCACATTACATGCAATCAATTTGCCTTTCTTATTAATTCTAAATGGGCTTAACTGGATAAAGTTTAAAATCAGGAAAAGACTGAAAAGACATGACTATGGTTCCCAGAATGTAAAATCTTTGCAAGGTTTGCCAGGAAAAAAATGAGAGCAATGTAGTATAAATTGGATAATACATTCCACAGAAACCCATGAGAGAAGAACATTAGTTTATAGTCCTGGTCTGTTACCAGAACAGTGCCTGTGAAGAAACTCAGTTTACAAAACAGGGACATTTTTGTGTATATGGAAAATTTAGTCTTTAGACAGATTGCAAAATTTTATGACCACGAGAATGACCACAAGAAATGGTCAAAATTTGTTTCTTACAGTTTTCTATCTCTGCCACTCAAACTCTTGACTAGTTACCATCTCCAGAGGACTAAAACAAATCCTGAAATTGCACAAGGCTGCTTCTCTGAGGACACGGGTTTCCTCTAACACTCTTTTTGCTTACTGTCTTCAATGGAATTACTCAAATCCTTAAAAAAGGAAAGAGGTCAGAGTTAATATGAACCTTTGGAGGTGGAAATGACAACGCTGTAGTACACAGGCCACCTCATTTACATCCTTTGAATCATATAATAAAAGTTTGTTCCTTACTGCCACGATGATAGGAGTGAAAAATGACCAGCAGAGTTTCCACCAGATGCAGGGTCTGTATCCCACCATCTCTTGGATGTTGTCATAAAATCTATTAACACCTAAATACAGAAATAAGAAACAGTATAAAAACATATCAGAGAATGGATTCAACTGAAAGCTCAGTGGTTTTGAGAGATGTTTTCATAAATGATGAGGTGTTTTTGGAAGCTCTATACAAACCTCAACATAACTGTCCAGCTACCTGAATGGGAAGGAAATATGCAAGCTCAGAAGCACCAAGAATCATTTTTTCCTCATTATTCCACATCATAATGAATTCATTCACAACCAGCAAACTTCTTCCCATCTAAAGGCAGAGGAAGTCTGTACCTCTGAAGGTCAGATACAACAGAAGTCTTTGCTTAATTTCAACTCTAGCTCTTATTAGAACAAGGGATTTAGAATGGTTTAGGTGGTTCAGTTTTGTTTTGTAAAATTAATTTAAAAAAACAAACAAACAAACAAACAACAAACAACCCATTGTAAAATTAACCAGCTTCACACTGTGTGGTTCTCATATGTGTGAGAATTACATTCCAAAACCCAACTTTGAGTCCTCAGTGGAATTACATGTATATAAAATAAGGCAAATTTCAGTTCCACCCTCAGCATGTGCACACTCAAAAGAACAAATCAGTAGATGAAACATCCTTACGATGTGCAAAACTTATGGGGGGGAAAAAAATATATATTGTTTACCATAGCACCAGGATATTGAGATGCACTCAAAGAATACAAGGAACAAGAGACTCATTCCGCTGGCAGAGTAGTAGTCAAAAAGCTTAAACACATAGATTCCACCCTAAAATATATAAGAAGCAAGTGTTAAAATAAATAGTAAGGACTCTAATTTCAAGATAGATTAAAATGCAAGCTACAAACTCACGTTGGTGAATAGGTTAGGGACAAATTAATGTAAATCAATTAAAAGTTAACAGATGAAATTGTTACAACGCTTGAGGTCAACACTGATGACAAGTATATTACTGCTATAATTCAATTAACTGGCTTAATTTCACTTTATGCCTTTTTGTTCAATAATTCAAACCAAATAGTTTGGGATCTAGCAGATCACAGGAGGCAATGGAGAGCACCCCTAGATACCAGCTCTTGGACTGGAAGACAGACTGCAGAGATGTGTGTTTTCTGCATGAAGTAGGATAAATTGCACCCTTGGACTACAGGTAACTTCTGCTGCCTGAACTCTTTAGATAGCGTTGATGGTTGATAGATCCCTGCCACTTCAATGGTTTGCAGTGATTTGTGGCTGGAGCAGGGGAAGAGAGAAATCAAATAGATACTGTGTGTCAGACGTAAGATCATGTTGTTCTACAGAACATACCTGAGTAATATTGGAGAGCCCTATCAGATAGGAAACGATGCACACAACAGCAATGAAGAGTTCTCTTCGATTGCGCAGTAACTTCGGAAATTCATCCACCAAAGCTGTTATGAATCCTTCTACAGTGCAGAACTGCAAGTAAAGTTAGAAATAAAATACAGCACAAGGCACTACCAGAGCAAGCTTGCATTTAGGGGAGGAGTTTTCAACAGTACCCATCACTTAGCCCATCATCCATTAAGTGATAAATGAAAACTTGACTTCAGTGGAAGAAGTGCTTCTGAATATCCTTGGGTTTGTCTAAACAGATTGGTGCAAAAAGATTTCCAGCCAAAGAAACACTCAAAATTCAAAAAAGTTTGGAATTTCAGAATTCTGAACTACTAATACAGCATGTGCTTCATGAACATAAAAGGCTCTTTTTTGTGATAGAAGGCAATATGGCTACAGTTGAAGGCTTTGACCCCTAGATCCTTCAAAAACATACTCTCCTCCATTTTGTGATTTACTCACATCCATGAGAGCCAACAGGCACCAGAAGTCTAATCAGAATAGTGGTTCAGGGTGGAAGTTAAAGGCACAAGATTGATTCTCATATGCAATAACTAGATACTTTTTGTATTGCCTGAAAGGCTTTTTGCTGAGGATGTGGCCCTCCAAATGGATGCATGGCCACACTTCAGAGTTTTTCTTTATGTATACCTTCAAAACTTGTTATGTTATCATGATGTTATCATTATGATGGCTGAAATAATGAAAACCAGAATGTATGTTTTCTTAATTTCTAGCAGTGCAATCAGAATTTAACCAATAGTTACAGTTCCTATAAATTACAATGCATGGAATGTTTCACTGCTAGACAGAAAATGAAGGAAGCATTTGAAGAATAAAGCCTGTAGATATATATTCTTTTTAATAGTATTAGACTACCTTCCTCAGCTCTGAATTGCCTAGAGACAAGTTCTTTCAAGAATATTTTTGACCCAATTAATTTCACAGGAGTTTCCCCCCAAGGTTGAGCAATAAGTTTTAATGTCAAGCCTGAAGCTTATTGAAAAACAACGAAATAAACCCCATAAATTTTCAGCTTCCTTTCATGTTGCAGGATAAAATACCCTCTTGGTCTTTTTGTATTTTGGTTCAGAGGCTGAAGTCAACTTGGATTTATAAAAAATGACGGATTTTCTCTACTAAAAGACTAGTACAGCACAAAACCGGTAATTCTCACGTTCCTCTAGGTGCTATGAAGACTGTGCTAATGACTGTAAGGTGTTGATTTGACAACTCCAACTGACTGCAAAGAGTTTAACACATCTGCCTGTGACTGGTCACATACAAGTGAGCAACCACTTCAGCAGGCAGAAGAGACTTCCCTGACAACGTCCTCAAAGTATGCGTTGCAAAATGAGACAGGTGCTTTCTGCAGTGCTTACAACAGAGTTGCCATCTGTATTAAAATTATTTCTAATTAATAAATGCTTTTGTTGGCCAGAGTCCTTCCTAGCCTGTAAAGTCCTTTTCTTCTTCTGTGTGCTTTTTTTCTCATTTTGCACCAAAGATACTCTTAATAATTGCATGACATAATTATATCATTATTTAATGATTTAATCTAGACAGTAACTCTGGAGAATATCATACTTGGATTTCCAAAACCTCTAGGTTGTGCCTTCCCATTTGTTTCCAGTTGTCAGGTACAAGCTATAATTCTTAGCAAAGGTCAGAACCAATAAAGTCTTAACCCTGACATTGGGAAGTGATTTCAGAACACACTAAGATGCTGAATGTCCTCAGTCATGAGCCTGCTGCCTCTAGAATTTGCTCCTAACAACCACACCCTTAAACTGAAATAGGTGTTGCATCTTTTTCCTCTATGTGGTAAGATCTAAAGTTGCCTTTCAGAAATACTTGTGGCATTTACATCTTGTAAAGCATGTCCCAGTGTCTCCTACAGTGATGAACATTATACAGGTATTTTTAATATTGTGATTGAATAGTTAAGATTTGAAAGAAAGTTTCTTTTATCCACAGAATAAATCTTCTCCACATTTTGTATATGTTTTATATATGTCTCAGTATCAGTTTTTTACTATCCCAGGTTCCTTGAACCTCTTCATCTTTCTTCTCCTACTGTTTGTTTGATCATTCCAGAAATCATTCTGCACCACTAACAGCTGCCAGTGCAAAACGCACAGAGAGAGGCCAACCTGGTACTATACAGCTGCAGAAAATTTGTCTTCATTTTTAGTTTTTACACCAGTTTTACCTGACTGTCAATTCCGAGCATAAGCAACATGGAGAAGAAGAGTATTGCCCACAAAGGAGAAATTGGTAACTGTGTCACTGCTTCTGGGTAAGCTAGAAATGCCAGTCCAGGGCCTGGTGAGAGAAACAGGAGAGAAAACATCAATGTGATTCATCTGGCACTGTGATTACTTGCTCCTGTTGACACACAGGTTTTCGCTTTATTTGAATAATTTGGCTACGGATGCAGCATCTGACAAGGGCTTTCAGCTCCATCACTGACCAAGGGGTCAGTGCATGTAACTTGCTTTTAAAATTAATCAACCAAACCAAAAAAATCACCCCCAAAACCCCCAAACCAATGTGGTTATGCAGTTCAGAAGCTGCTCCTGAGAGACACCTTTTTAGAGAAAAGACAGGGAATGTTATCCTTGTCTGGGATTACATCTTCAGGTACTGATCAGCTTTCTCTCTCTTAAGTAGCTACTGAGAGTTGTATCTCTCAGTAGAAGTAGAAATCTTCTACTTTTCACAATCTCAGAAGAGACACACAGACAGCTCAGAAATGGAAAAGCCACTTCCCAGCATTTAAAGTATTCCCATTCCCAACATTCTCAAGGCTGTTCTATTCCATCAATTATCTTAAAATACACATTTTAATAAACTACGTAGTTCCAACCAGGCAAACCTCCTCACTCATTTGTGTTCCTACTAACTGATGATGTGGGGCATGGTGTTGGAAGGAAAATATAAATTCTTACTAAAAATGAAAGAGCTCTTTTTGTTGTCCTAGCATAGCTGGAAGCCAGCTGATGTCAGGTAAAGAGAGAAACCTGCAGCAAACAAAATAATCATGGAAATAACAGTAAAGTGCCTCACCAAAGGGAGGGGAGGTATCTGATTTTTCAGTTTCCATTAAAATAAAAAAATAAAAAAAAAAAAAAAAGCTGGTTGGACATATATAGCTATCAAACCATCAAAGCCAAGGACTGGCATAGACACCTGAGCTGCCAAAGTAAATGCAATGCAGATTTTGAAACAATTATTTGCTAGCAATAGCAGATATGACTGGAATGCCTTCCAGATGGCAGTAGTAAGAGCAAAATAAACTTAAGATAAATATGTTAATTTTACTCTGCTACACGTTCCAAAATGCAGCTACAGCTTTTAATTATACTGGTTTGCGGGTTTTTTTTTGTTGGTTTTTTTGTTTTGTTTGTTTGTTTGTTTGTTTTTGTTTGTTCGTTTTGTTTTGGTTTTTTTTATAAAGCTGTATAAAATATTGCAAAACAACATATGCTAAAATAAAGCAACAGTTTCTGAGCTTGCTAGGAGAAACAGAAGCCTTAATTAAAAAGGTCAGATTTCCAAATATCCTTTGCAATTAGTGGCCTCAGGAGGCCATGCACATCTTTCAGACACCTATTATCTTAAATACCTTAAAATGTATTTAGAAGCTTAATATGATATAAAAATATTGTTCTGTTTGCAGATGTAGGCTTTATACAATTATACCTGCACCCAAAATATCCATCCAAGAAGCTTATTTCACACACCGCTGACTATCCAGGGCAATTTTTGACAGCCTTCTACGCTATCGTAATTCTTTTCCTAATTTCTTTGTATCTGTAGTTTATTGAGGATTATGTTTAGGGCTCAAATTCTCTACTTTTCTAACTAAAGAAATATTTCATCAATGGGATATGTTTGCTATTGTAATAAGACATTTTGTCCACCAGTGACTTCCAACCAAGCTTTTCGTTATCAGATCCCTCCCTGTGGCCAGAACTGCTAAATGAGTATCTGGTACACCAGCTGGGTCAGGGCAACCATCTGCTCTGCTTCTTCAAGCTTTTTCAGCTGGAAGACAGACAAGGAAGTGCAAAAAACAGCAAAACTCTTCCACAGACATCTTACTGTGCTAAGTAAAATGACTTTCATGATAAAGGGTCCTATAAAATTGGCTGAGAGCTATAGGTCTGAAAAGACAAGAAACCACAGAATCCCAGAATAGTGGGAGTTGGAAAGGACCTCTGGAGATCATCTCATCCATCCCCCCTGCTCCAGCAGGTCACCCACAGCAGGGTCACCAGAATCACATCCAGGTGAGTTTGGGATCTCTCCAGAGAGGCAGACTCCCCAGCCTCTCTGGGCAGCTTGCTCCAGGCTCTGTCACCCTCACACCAAATAAGTTTCTCCTCCTGGTCAGCTGGAACATTCTGGGTTCCAGTTTGTGCTCCTTGCCCTTTCTCTTGTCGCTGGGCACCACTGAGAAGAGCCTGGCCTGAGCCTCCAGGCTCAGCAGCCCCAGGGCTCTCAGGCTGTCCTAGCAGAGATGCTCCACACTCCTTGCAGCCTCTGCTGGACTCTCTCCAGTAGCTCCTTGTCTCTCCTGAACTGGGGAGCCCAGAACAGCATACAAGACTCCAGAGGTGGCCTCACCAGGGCAGAGGAGAGGGTCAGGAGAACTGCTGGCCACACTTCTTCATGCACCCCAAGAGACCATTCCATACCAAATGGATCTACCTCAAAGGGCTTAACCTCCAGAAACAGTGAAAGGAACTAAAAAACCTAACTGAATTTGAGAACATAGGCTCCAAAACCTTAATGACCATCATTCCTCCTTTCAGTTTGCTTTCAAGAATTTCAGTAGCAAGAGGCTCACCATCTGACGTCCCAGCCAAGCACTAAGGCAGCAAACTGTGCTGACACCTCCAGTAAACGCATTCCCTCTAAGCAGTATCCCATTAGTACTCCTTGTGTCAGCCCCAGATGAGCCTCTGGCTGACCACGCTCCACAGCAAAGGTCTGAGGGCACTGGGAAGGCAGACAGGCAGTCTCCTCGACATGAAATGCTTTTGCTGGTGCTGCCTTGAGAGGTTTAACCAGTGCTCTCCCTTTTGCAAACAGCAAGGGCGACTGGAATGACAGGGAGCTGAGGAAAGCTTTGAGAGAGAGATTTTGAACCATCACGTGAAGCAGCTGGTTACAACGTACAAACAAAAAAAACCTGATGCCACTGAACAGCTTAGAGAAAAATATATTGGATACCTGATGCTGCAACATCTGCAATAGGCCTCTTTGTGACATTAGCCATGAATCCAACAATGGAGAAGATGACAAAGCCAGCAAACATGCTTGTGCATGAGTTTATGCAGCACACTATGATGGAGTCCCTGAAATAAAGGTAAGGTGCTTTAAGCAGTAGGTAAAGCAACGCCACTACTGTTCATCAGTGTATTACCCTTTTTTTCCTGTGAAAAGAGCTCGTGGTTTAGGATTTCACAGATCAGGCTCCATTTCATGCTGGACAAGTCATACTGTCTCTGCTGCTAGTGCAAATGCAGTTACACATCTCATTCCTTGTTAGAACTAACATTTAATATTCAGAGCTGAGCCTAGGCCTTATTTCAATAATCTACAGTGAAAGACAGAATCCAGCTCCAGCTGAGAGGGGAAAGTGCCATTGTCATGTATGCAGACATCTGCTTACCTGTAAACATTATTGTGGAAAGGGTTGTAACTTCCAAGGGCAATCAGTGAACCAAGACCCAAACCATAGGAGAAGAAAATCTGTGTGGCAGCATCCAGCCAAACCTGATTGCAGGAAATAATTTTTTTAAAAATCTGTTTCTGCACTTGAGGACCAGGTCATATGTCTGAAAGGTGAACAGTTAGTAGTGAAACTTTTGTTTACAAGGATTGAATATTTACCTCAGAGTCTGAAAGCTTACTGAAGTTGGGAGTTATATAGAATAAAATGCCTTCCTTTGCTCCAGGCAGTGTTACACCACGGAAGAACAAGATAAGCAGCATAACATAGGGATAAGTAGCAGAGAAATATACCACCTGATGTGAAGAAACAAGACATTGTAAGTGTGGAAGGAAGAATGACCTGTGCTTCTTAACATTTCAGAAAATATTTCCTCCTTAAAAATACTGTAGCAGCAACTGAGGCTGACTTTTACAACTGAAGCATTTCCCAGTGGAAAAGCTGAGTACGGAAAGGGGAGTGCCTACTGCAGAAGTCCCTCACACCACGTCTACAAGGCAGGTGCCTGTTGCCCTTTATCCTGAAGGTACAATATCATGGACTAGGGTATTTTTGCATGACAGGGTCATGTGTTTTTTTGTGTTCAACAAAGGGAGCTCCTAAAAGCTCTAGGTTCATGGCACCAGTACCCTCCTTGTAGAACAACATCCATTAGTTCATTTCTCCACCTCTCAGACAATTGTATTTTTTCACACTCTCTCCTCATCTATGTTATGATACACAGGGTCCTACTTTCTTGCCTTCTCAGAAGCCCTATAAAAAAATACACTATGAGGTCAGGCTCCAAAGAAACAAAGTCAACCCTCTTTTTGCCACCTTCTTTGCAGATAGGAGAAATAAAATGGTTTGGTCTGAGTTCAACTAGGATACATCCAACACGCAGCTTGAAGCGCATCACAATTACAACCATCTTGTCAAAAGTTAACAATTCATTCTTTCAGTGTGAAAAAATCCCAGTCCTCTACACCATACCAGATGTCTTATAACCCAAGTCTTCAGCTTCCACCATGCTTCATGGCTGTGGTTTTTAATTTCCCTAAGATTTCTTCCTGCCATTTTGAGGAGAGGGATGGATTTATGCCAATGTCAGATGCTAGTGCCCTTTCATTCATGGAGAAAGGGCTGTCAATAGTATCAATTTCCTTTAGTAAATTCTATTTTGCACTTAGGAACCACCCAGACTCCAACCATGTCTGTGGCAGGAATCACCTATAGCTCTCTTTTGGCACAACAAAAGGAGGGAGCAGCTTTTATATGCAATATAAACCACTTCAGCACTTACATACCTAAGTCAGATAAGAGCTGTACAATAAATCCATGCCTCTCATTGAGCCAAAACACTGCATCCCCACCCTATTTCTACCCAAACTAGCTAAAATATTCATCCCAGGGACAAGTAGATAGATTTTTAGGCAATTTAATACCTGGCAAAGCCAAAAAGTCTGTAAGTGAACGTATTATCCAAAACTATGGTCCAGCCTAGCTACACAGGAGCCAGGTCTTTGAAAAACATGGTGCTAAATCAGTTCAAAAAAGATAGAAATTAAACAATTCACTGAGCTATTCCAGCAAAACTGTCCCCAGTGCCTCTTACCTCAAGAATTTTCAGAATATTTGAGTAAAATGGGCATTTTTAATTGAAAGGTATTTACGTACTTTTTAATCTTACCTTTCCAGTCCAGCCTACCCCCTTCCAGATACAAAAATACACCAGAATCCAGGCAATTGCTAGAGTAATTGCTAGTGGCCATCGGATTTGCCCTGGTTTTTCCAATCCATCAGTCATTTGGTGCATGTTGCGCCTAGAATAAGCCAACAGAAGAGTGTATTGGGCAGCTAATTCAAAAGACAGTATATGAATGATAACAAGCTGATCCATGCACATGCACAGGAATGATACAGAGAAAACTCATCAGCTTACTCCCAGAATTCCACCACGGCACTTGTCATGTTGGTGGTGTTTGCTAAGGTGTAGTTGGAGAAGCAGCGGTCAGTGTTCCATGGGTTCTCACAGTGTTTCCAAGGAAGAGTCTATTTGATTAAAAAAAGAGAGAAAAACCTAAACAGTCAAACACTTTTTAAGTAAACATTACCTCAGGTCATTTATTACCTCTTGTTGCACTAGAGATAATAAAGGTATGGTAGTTATTGGTCAGAGAGATTAATTTTCCCTTCAAGTCATGGAACAACTAGAAAACTGGAAACTTTTTCTACATCCGCTTTCTACATGTGTCCATTACACTGAGCTATCTTTCAGAAGTTCTGAGAAGCAGAACCTGTTTCCACATGATGTGACCTGGAAATGCTGGGTTGAACCTGGCACAATTAATGGTAGAACTGGATGATCTTAAAGGTCTATTCCAACAAAAACTGTTCTATGATGTCCATTAGAATGAATCTCATATAGATACAACTTAGATATTCTTCTGATGGCCAATCTTGGAAACTTCTCTCACAGGAAATGTTGTATCAGGGTACTGCATGTTTTAAACACAAGGATAAGAGACCTTGAAGGAGTTAGAAGTCAATATTCATCTAGCATGGGCCAGTGTATCACGTCTAGACTATGGCCAATCTTTCACACAAAAACAAACCTGAGGTTAAAAATTCCCAAATGATTTTGTCACTCCCAGAAGGTAATTAATGCAAATTGGGTCAAAAGACAATTCTTTAAAGTCGAGAACAGGCAAGCATGAACAAAATTTATAGAGGAGAAAACAACTAAACAATGATGCATTAATTATTGAGAATTATGTAAAAATGCTTCCTCAGCTGGCCAAACCCACAGATCAGACAAGACCTACTCAGCTGATGAGTCATCCTTGAGAGGAAAAAAAGGGCAGCTAAAAATAAAGGGAAAAGGAAAGAAAACAAAGTGCAAATAACAATGATGAATGGGAAGTTCAGAGCTAATCAACTTACAGACCTTCTACTCCACAGGGATGTCTTTAACAAACCCCTCCACCACTAAATCACTTTGGTGGTTAAAGGACAAGAAATGGCTACTAAGTGAAACTAAAAGGGTACAGAGGACAGAGCTATGGCTTTGAAGACTAAGACAAGGAAATTCAAACAAATCAGTAAGAAAGAGAAGCCTGTGGTTCCAAAATAACCTATTATTATGTTTCGCCACTAGCATTCCTGGTGTGGACTATTTTCCTCACAATTCTCCATTTTATATTTCTTTTGAAGAAAACAAAATATTAAAATGACGGGTTTTTAGTAAAAAATGCTTTGTCGTACTGATTTCTATGCATTTTGTGTTAACTTCACACTTCTACACTGAGACAGATCAATCAGCTATCTATATACCACTTTGCTTTACATTCAATAAACAATTCACCCCTCCAACTTACACTAGTAAAGGAATTATACAGGTAGTATATGGCCCAGGAAATAATCACAATGTAGTAAATATTTAGCCAGAAGGAAAGGACTGCAGCAGCTAATCCCACACCTGTAAAGAAAGCAAAAAAAAAAAAAAAAAAAAAACAGCTTTTAGCAATGTTTGCACAAGTGTCAGTTGAAGAGCTGCAGTTCAGAAGGACAAATACATGTGGGGCAGATACCATTTAGTGAATTTTATAGAAGCCAAGATAAAATTTTAGAAGCACCATTAGAAACTGATCCGTAAATGGAGTTAAAGTTCAGTCATCTATAAATTTAATCAGTGTCTGGTTGTCCGAGTGCTGCAGCAAGCTATCTGCTGCTGCTGGGATTTTACAGGCGTTTTTTACTTCTAAGGAGAAGAGCTAAATCAGCTCATTCTCTGAAAGAGCAATGCCACAAAAGCTCTGGCAGATGCAAAGTGAGTGTAAGATGTAGTACTCTGATCTAAGGGCTTGACGCTTAGTACAATGCTAACGTGTCACCTCAGACTAAAGCAATGTCAGAGGCTCCACGATGAGAGTGCCTTGTCTTCTACTCCACATGGAGACTTCAGGCTGGTGGCAGTTGCCACATGACACTAAACAGAAGCAGGTGCTCAAAATAATCAGAAAAATATCTATATTTTGCATTGTGCTTCCTACTAGCATCAGTAGCTCCAGCAAAGTTAAAATACTTGCCCATGAGAAACAATTTAATCTCTCTGGGTTTTCCCCGTGCAAAATTTCCTGGAACAAAATCCATTCTAAACAATCTTTCAGCTCAGCCTATGCTGTCAGTCCTATTGTGTGAAGTAACCTATAGCTTGATGTGTAACCTGCTCCTTTTCTGGCCCAAGAATCAGCTCAAGTGTCAAAGGGTTTAGGACCAGAGGGTGAGAAGCAGAGTTTGTGAGGTTTGTGGGTCTGTGCAAAATCTCAGCTAAAACCTTGAGGTTATAGCAATGAGAAACCTCAAACTAGCTAAAAATCTAAGTGTGAATTGAGCTTGTCTCAGGCATTTCAATATGAAATTGCCATTTTTGAAGTGTCTAGCTTTTGAATTTCAATAAAGAACAACAAAGATAAAGCTCTGTGACCTCGACTAGAAACAATGCTTACCAAATTGCTGTGAACAGAGTGCCATACCTGCTCAGACAAACATTGCTAGCTTTAAAATTCTATTTTGAACAGACTTTGTCTATTCCTAACAAAAAAAAAAACAAAACAAAACAAAACAAAACCAAACAAAAAAAATCCCAAAGAGCAAACCCACACCATTTTTGAAGTTCAAAAAACCAAGTTTTTTGTTTGTTGAGATTCTAATACCTAACTCTTGTTATTTTTTGTTGGGGAGGGAATAATAATAATGTTTCTTGTTTTCACCTCAGAAAAATCAGGGCTTTCTGTAGAAAGTTCTGGTTCAAGTGAAAATACGAAGGCATAAAGAAACATTCTTGTCCTGTCACTTTGTGTAACTTGGAAAGGAATGGAAAGAAGTCCAAATTCATACTGTACCTTTGAACATTGGAGCAAGCTTCCATACCCCAAGGCCTCCTATAGATGTATACTGACCAAGGGAACACTCCAAAAGAAACAGTGGCACTCCAGCAAAAATTAAAGTGAGGAAATAGGGAATCAGGAACGCACCTAAAGAGAAATGAGAAAAAAAGTCTGTTACAAGGGAGAAAAATGCTACTGAGCATCTGCTGTTTATATCCCTATTATATAAGAAACCCACTTTTTTTCATCTTAAGTGTAACTCCTCAAAAAAGTTAGTGGAAAAGACATGTACACCTCTGAACCAGTATCTCAAGAGGTGGAAAAAAAGGCAAAGAATATATCTCCTCATCATATAAATATTTTCAGTTTAAGTAAAAAACTCAAATCCAGAAGTCTGTGTATTTTGTTGCCTTGATCTATCACAGGAGCATGAAGATAGCATAAAGGCTTTAAGCAGAACTGGCTGCTCTCCAGCTGAAGTTAGCCTGTTATGTTAAGCTCAGAGTCAGCATTACAAGCTATATGCAATCCTCTCAAAACCTCAGACTAAAAGATAGGGCTCAGAAGAGTTGGAGGGCAATATGCTTTAGTTCTGCTCTAATCCCTTATGGTCTTTATTCTAACTTCTAGTTGGCAGGTGCTCTTTAAACTCCAGGGCAGACAAAACAGAGCACCACACTCCAAAAGGCTCCAACCCTCCTGGACAATTGTAGAGCAAAAAAAAAAAAAAATCCCCAAACAAACAAAGCCAAACCCTCAAAAAATACCTATACAGACAAAAAAACCCAAGGTATTAAAACTAAGTTCTGTTTTACTGATAATTTTAACAGTGGATTCAAATATACAACTATATCAGAGGTTGTAAGAACAAAACAGCAAACCTACCTCCACCATTCTTCCCACAAAGGTATGGAAACCTCCACACGTTCCCTAAGCCAATGGCATAACCTACACAGGACATAAGAAAGTCAAATTTTCCTTTCCAAGTGTCTCGGTCTGGGAGATCCGTCTTCTTCTTCTGCACTTTTACTACCAAGGTCTTAGGCTTGTCGTTGGTGATGGAAGCATCCACTTCGGTGGAGATCTGTCCGTCAGCCACCTTGGTGCCATTGGTGGCCATGTCTCTGGGTTTGGCTGAAGAGGTTCTGGCAGCAGCCGGACGGGAGAGCTCCGCACCAGTCCACGTGGACAGCAGCTTTGCGGCTGGCGGTCACCCAAGCGGGGAGGCTCAGCTTTGGCAGGGAAACGCAGCACCCCAAAACCACGCAAACCCCAGAACCCCAAATGCTGGGGCGGTGCGTGAGCTAGTCTGCAAGCCAGTACCAGCTTCTGGATTGACCTGCAAAACACGAGATCACAGAATTCAGCTTTGCTTCAG